TCCCCCGTGAGGGACGACCCCGGCAATAAATAACCCCCCGTAGGTATTTCCTCCCGGGTTTCGCTTTTTCCCGATTTTCCTGGCACTCCCTTTAGCGGATTCGCCACCCTCGGCGGATTCCATAACGGGGGTATGTGTTTCTTACGTGTCAGAGCTCCCCTTTAAAGTTCGCGATCAGGTCGTAGGGGGTGGGGGGAGGGTTGTTTTCATCCGGCCATATTGTTGGGAACGAGGAGCTCGGAAAACCGCGAGTACTCCGAAGGACATTGCCCGATAATTTGGCTAATGGACATTTTACGGGGGGGCGGTAAAAAGAGGTGCGGATTATGGTCATGGGGCCGTTAGGTTTTACCGTTTCCGCAGGCTCTGCCGCGGGGCCGGCCGATTTTCCGCGGCCCCCTTGAAACTGAGCCGGATATAAATCCAGGACCCGACTTTTCGGGGGAGAGGTTGCACAGTCGACCAGGGGGAAGTTCCTTTGTCCGGTAAAATGGCCGGCGTTAAAATGGCCCGGTTCGTCAGGGCGTACGGGAATATGGCTTCAACGACGGCGGCGTTAAAGTCTCCGCACCCTCTCTCTCCCTCTCATCTCGCGGCCTTCTATAAATCTGATCTCGCGGATCTAATGTACGGAAGTTTGACGGGGGGTTGGGGAGAAAAAGAAGATTCGCTCATTATCTCGGAGCCGAAGTTGGGGGGGCGAAAAATGCTATCGGCAGACCGAGGGCCGTGAATTATGGAGGCCATTTCCCGCCTCGCGGAAACCGTGCGGCCCAAGGGGTACGTAATTCCCGCGGCGCCGAACGCCGCCCGAACTTGGCGAGTGTTCCCTCCATTATCGATGGCGCTGCGTCCCAAGAATTAATTCGGCACCTCGGCGTCCCTAGGGGTGCGACGTCCAAGGGATTAGAATTTCATCGGGGGCCCCGTTTCGGCCGATGCTCTTTCGATTAGCGCGTCCAAACCGCGAGATTCCCCCGGGAACAATACTCTCCTCCAGTCCGACTCCGGAAGCACTCATTTATTCACTCGGTTATTTACGAGCCCTGCCGTCAGACGGCGCGCCATGCGTCTTCTCGGCCGCAAATTTGACAAATCAACGGGCCCAATCAACGGACCGACGTCCTCATCGCTCCCGAAAGTTGGAGCAAAGGGATAACAAAAAAATATAGCGAGGAGCGAAGGTGCACGTCTCATGGCGGATCAACGCGGATAACGCATGCCCCGCCCGGGAAATTACGGTATTCCGTGGAAAATCTCACCCCCCCACCCGGGAGAGTAGTCCGGAAGGGGGTGAAAACTCTCCACCGTGCATCCCAGGTTAATCCCACCCGGCGAGAGGGGTGTCCTTATGCCCGGGATTCTTCATTTCCAGGGCGGAAAATTGGTCGCTCGTGTGCGTAAATTAAATCGGCGCAATTGGGGTACTCGGCCCTCGAGTACCTCCCCGGGCTATAAATCGGCAAGGGTCGGGAGGGTAAGTACAAGAATTAGGAATTACTCTTAACGAGGCTGCTCGGTCGGGCCCGAGAGGGCATAATCGGGCTCCTCGGGTACTCGGTGCATCGGGGTGCACTCCGGGGGGACGCGAGTGCAGGGGCGAACTCCGGAGGCCGGGCCACGCGGATAAGGACGGGGCCTATAAATTAATTAGCCTAAGTCTCTAAGACCTAAAAGCCGCCGGCGGCGCCCTATGTATGTAGATCTGAATTAACCCACCTACCGGAGGCGCCGGAAGTTTACGACGACGACTCCGCGAGAGCGACCGGCACTTCCCTGTCGGGGCGTAAAGACGTCGCCTCCTGTCGGCAGAAAAAAAAAGGAAAGATAAAAAATCGAAAGGAAGGAGGACCTCGAGGATATCCGTGCACTTGGCGCGAGACTCTACCTCCCTGGACTCCTTGACGAAGAACTTTGAAACGCTGACCAATGACGCGACTCCATAAAAATGCGAAATTCTTCACGCGAATCTATTCCCATGAGAAAAAGTAAAATCGGTATAAATTCGAGAATTGAACGGCAGGTCGAATGCCGTCGTCCGCGTCGATCCCCGGAAATCGAGGAGCCCCGATGAACCGAGACCGATATTGGGAAGGCGAGGGAATTACTTTCGACGATGCACTTGGCGCGGGACTCGGCCCGATAGCGGAAAGCCCGCCAATTCTCCGGACACGCCTCGACCGACCGGCGATTTCCCGTCGTTTTTCTCCCTTTCGGGGGCTACCCCACCCAATAGAATCGGACAGAAATGAAATATTTCTTGGCGAATTGAACCTGTGACCGGGTCAGTTACAGGAAGGCACACCTGACGCCTGGATTCGATACCGCGTGCGGAGGTCCCACCCCACGTGTCGCCCCGCAGAAAGCGCCGGCAGAGAAATTGGAAAATATCGGAAATATCGAAAACGAAGGTGCGCCCCCCCGAATTGGCTCCAAGGGCCTCTAGATGGACTTAATGGACTCCACCCTGGCGCATCCTGGTGCCCCTCTCCTCGCTCCTGCAGGACCCAGGACCGATCCGCGAGTTCCTCGAGCGGCCTCGATTTTTATGCCGACCCCCCTTTGACATTTCTTCCCCCCGTTGGGAATGTCACCGGCGGCGTAACGTTTAATGATCTCGAGGAGTCCGTGTCCTCGCAGCCTCCAGATACGCCTTATGGTTATTCAAGCTGCAGTCCCGCGGGGCGATAAAAACGTGATGTATCAGCGCAGCAGGTGCAACTGCGAAGGTATCCAGGAATACGACGTGTAACGCTCGGCCTGAATATTAATACGGCCCGAGCCGCGAATTCTCGCTGAAGCTCGGCAATAAATATCCGGTATGGATTTTTCTTTTTTTTTTTCTCCCTCGTGTTTTATATATCTGTATATATTTTCGTTCGGTGAGGGCAGTTAATTATTCGGCCCGTGGAGTGGGTCGGCGAGTCACGGGACGGGAGGGCGCAATAATTTCCGGGGGACTTTTAATTGAGAAAAAAATGGCTCGATCCCCTTGGTCGATTTTTCTATCACCCTCCTCCCCCCCCCCCCGTGTTTTGGGAGGGCCCCGAATTTTCCCCGGGAAAATTGGAGGGGGAGGGTCCTTTATGAAAAGGCAGAAGTTGCTTGCGAACCCTTTCCCGGAGTTCTCTATGAATACCTACGCGGTACACACGAGACGGTTCGCTCTTCCGATACGAGCCTCCTCTAGGAATAAATTTAAATAACGCCCGTTCTTTGATATGTTAATACTCCGTCCCCTGTATATAGGTGGCCGCGTATATCCAGGTGGCCCAGAGGCACGAAATTCTTTGATAAGTATTTCCCCCTTTTCACTTCTGCCGGTCCGTATCGCTATCTTTATGGCTGCGCACACGTTTAGATATCAGCTTCACGGTCTACCTCCGTCGGCGCATAAATCATCGCTATTGGTCGCGATCTCTCCCCCCTTCTGCCCCGTGGGTTTCGTTGCATCCCGCGATAAATAACGAACGATTCCCCTCTTACGTAAATTAAATTAATCCCGCTGATCTGAAAATCAAGACCGCTCCGAGATGAAATCCACGAGCGAGGAGAGCCAACGCCAAAGGGTGGAGGTCTCGTCCACCGGATCGGCCGAGTTCCACTTTTTGCCTCTTCCCAATTTCCCAACAGTGATTTTCCTTTCCCCTCGAGTTCTCATCTGGGAACTTTTAGTCAGATCCCTCGGAGCCTATTTTCGTGAACGGCGGTAAATCCAGCGACGCGGAAATAGAACCCCTTTCTGTTATCTCTGCGCTGTACAAGGATGGTCCTCGTGACTCGGATAAATGATAACGATTATCCCGAGGATAACGCATCTACGCGTTTTTCTCCACTCACCTGTCTGGATCGACGGGTGTATCGGGTGCACACCACAGGTGGGGGACCTCCGGCGCGGTTTCGATTCCGCGTAATTCGCGGAATTTCGCGTAATTTCGCGGAATTCCCCGGTACTCGCGGATTCGCGGGACCACTCGGCCAATCCGTGGTCTTCCTCCTCGGCGACAGTTGCCAACTGAGTTGAAAAATTGCTGCCAACCACGAGCCTCGTCGGAGCCTACGTAGCTCTGCCACGTCGCGGTCCTCTGCTGACACACGTGTGTGTGTGTGTGTGTACGTGCTCGGAACGGGCCGATAACGTTGCACAATCGGCCCGATATATGGATGGGAGAATAATTGGCGGTCTCGACATTAACATCCGAGATACCCATGCCCAGACTCTTCGATTTGCGCCATTCCCCTCGGCCATTATCTCCCCGATTATGATAACTGCCCCTTGTCTAGGTACCCGATTAAGAATCGATTAAAAATCGACCCCGGTCGAAATTAATCGAGGCAAGGTCACGATCACCGGAGGGGATTTTATCCGAATCTTATCAGCTTTCCCCTATTTTCGGGGGCCTTATCACCATCGTTAATTGCCCCGCATTTAATCGGCTCTTATTTAAAAATGGTAATTTCGTGTGAACTCGTAATTTTTATATACACTTAAAAATCTGTCGCTGGTCGAATCTGTTCTTTCGTGGGGAAGGACTAGAGTTCGATGGAGTCCGGAGTCTACCCAGGCCTCCTGGACGGGAAGTTCGTCGGCAGTTCCCGCTGGCTGAGGATCCTGCCGAGTCGGCCGAGGGGACCAATTCCCTCTGCAAACTCTACGGGAACGAGGCGCGCATGACGGATGTCGAGCTATTTACCTAGGTTCCCACCTGCCTGGTCTCGATCTTGCCTCGATCTCTCCTCGATCTCGCCTCGATCTCGATCGCATTACCCGCTACTAGGGATGCGTTTCCATTCCCGTGCGGAGTTAAGGCCGATTTCCATATCAAGCCTCGCGCGGCTCGAATGGTCCCTCAGGGTCCCTTTTACGATCTCATCGACGCTCCCCCAGGGGATAAATAGGAATATTTACGAGAGTAAAATATAAGGAAAAAAAAAAAAAAGAGTGAAGAAATCCTCCCTTTAACTCCTGGTATTTTTAACCCCATGCTTTTCGGTTTCAGCCTGGACAGGGACCAGCCCTTCACCTTCCAGCTTGGTGTAGGTCAGGTCATCAAGGGGTGGGACCAGGGCCTGCTGGACATGTGCGTGGGCGAGAAGAGGAAGCTGACCATCCCACCTGAGCTGGGATACGGAACCCGCGGCGCTGGAAATGTCATCCCAGGAGGTGCGACCCTAACCCCCCCTCAATTTCCCGCAATTTAATTCTCGCGAAACAGGGCGCGCAAGGACACTTCTCCCAGGAGAAGAGGTCGGCATAAATACGCGGCACGATTTAAGGGGGGATATTTCGCCGACCCCGGAAACCTATCCCCCCGACTGCGGGATCCGCGAGGACGGAATCGACCCGCGAGCGGTTCCGCGGGAGTTCCCAGGACCCTCCCCAAATCGTCGCGCCCCTAAGTGTTATGGACATCGACCCTCCCTCTTTCATATCCTCCCAGGCACGTGACGTGCAAGGAGATCGCGAAATATCGTCCCTCCTTCCTTCCAATCCCGAACTGGGAAACGATTTACCGGAGGGGGCGGAATTTAAATGAAAGGGTGATAAAAAGGAGAAAAGTTGAAATTGAAACCGGACGTCTCTCGAGCTCGATTACCGCGTGGGGAAGGGGTTCCCCGGAAACCGAGGTCCGGGTCCACTCGGGAATGGCCGGTAAATCGGGAATCGAAAAGGGACGAATCGGCGACTAGCTTGAGCCGAGTCCTCCCGATCCCGCGGGACCTCCTCCCGTAATTACCCGGGGGACGGCTCGCGGGGTCCGGCCGAATCGTTAGCGACCAAATTCCGGCGGGGGCGGAGGGGGGATAGGAAAAAAAAAATGTAATTGGACGGAATTCCAATAAAGCGTCGAGCATTAAATTGGACGGTGTTATCGGGTCTCCCCGGTACTCGGGACGCGGCCGAACGTGTCCGGTTTGGCCGCCTCGTCCTTCCGCGATTCGCGCCCCCTCGTTGGCGGCCTCGAGCGATCGTTTCGCCGGTTTCAATTCGACGGGTAATTATTAAGTGGCATATTTCACCCGGGTTTCGACCTCGGCAATCGATGCCCGACGAGCGAATCGAAGGGGGGACCGGCCGAGAGGGTGCCACGGGGTCGTCGGAATGTTTTCTATCTCTTATCACCGCAACTGCGTGGCGAATACTCGATTTTTCCTTTTCCCCTTCCAGGCGCCACGTTGCACTTCGACGTGGAGCTTATCAACATTAGCGACTCGCCGCCCACCGCCAACGTCTTCAAGGAGATCGACGGTGACAAGGACAATCAGCTGTCCCGCGAGGAGGTGAGAGCAATGGCAAGATCCTTTTTCAGTTTCTTATTCGGGATCGCGACCGGTGGAGGGCCGATCTTCATATGAAACGAGGACGTATCGACGCAAGGAAAATTGCTAAATCTAGCTTAAACAATTTTTATATACATGGTACTCGGTTCCTAAGTGCACTATGGATATATAAATCTAGGATTTAACGTGCTGGTTTGAGGAGAAGATTTTTTTGACGGGCTAGATAGATGCATCTCTCTGGGTGCGCGACGGTAGGGTAGGAGTTAATCTCGTTGTCTCTCGTTAAAATTTCAGGTGAGCGATTACCTGAGGAAGCAGATCATGGAGGCCGAGCAAAGCGGCGAGAGCGACGAGGTGAAGAAGATGATAGCCGACCACGACAAGCTGGTCGAGGAGATCTTCCAGCACGAGGACAAGGACAGGAACGGATTCATCTCCTACGACGAGTTCAGCGGGCCGAAGCACGACGAGCTTTGAAGTCGCCGCCGGTGATCCCCGGAAGCCTCGTCGGCCCACCGGACGTCCGGAAGACACCCCGAAGACGTGCACCCTTTCGACGAAACGACATCCGCGACCGAAAGGAAGACCCGCGTCAGTCCAGGGACTCGTGGGTCGTCGCAAGCTCGAGGGGACTCGTGAGTCGGGTCCTTTGAAGCGTCCTGAGGGGTCCTCGGCCGGGAGGAGGTCCTTCCTCCCCCGGTGGAGGTCCTCGAGGTCCGCGAGACCGCGCCCGGGGAAATTCGGCGGGGACTCCACCGTCATGGAGAGCGACGAATTGATTTTCCCTTCCCCCCCATCCGGACGATCCTTGAGGTCCTTAAGATCCCCGAGATCCTTCGGATCCACGGGGGGGAAGATCAATCCCACCCCTCCGCAATCCCTCCGGGTGCGGTCAAGCACGCGCCCATGCACACCCTCGTTACCCCCAGGAACATTCCACGACTGTACATTGCTCGAGTCACGTAAAAAGGTGCAACCCTTAGTGTAAATACCGCCCAAGGGGTGGAAGACGAGCCGGGGCCTTGTCTATTTATTACGAAGGTCCTCTCGACCCTCGGACCTCTCGTCTCCCTCCCCGGGGTCGGGACCCTCCCCCGTGTCTTTTTAAACCCCTTCCCGACGACCCTCGACCTCGACACCTCCCCCGATCGCCCTCGTCTCGGAAGCGGAAACACCGAGCGCTATCATTACTGTAACTAATGCGTTTTTATTACTACATATATTGTACGCTGTTAAAGTTGGACGAAGGTTAACAATAAATCGTGCGCAACGCGCACAGTTTGTTATACACGAAGGGGATGGTTGACGTTGCCTCGAGGCCAAGGCCGAAGAGGGCCCTGAAGGGTGATGAAAAGGGAGGTACACCTCTTCTCTCTCTCTTTCTCTCTCTCCTCGCTTCTTCGTGATCTTACGTCCTTTATTCGATGCATTCACTTATCACGGGTGTGTACGTTGGTACGGAACAGCGTGTACCTACATCTCACGGGCAAGACGGATTACGACTAAGCTTTTAAGACACTTATCCTCCCCTCTGCCGAGGACTCGACGATCCTCCCAGCGAGCGCCGTGCCTGTGCCCTATGCGCATGCGTCCGTCTCTATAATTACACTTACACCTATATTTATACGTCTCTCCGTGCGTATCAATTGCAAATGCCGACTTTACTCCGTAATCTCTCTACCCAGGCACCGCGTCTCACCCCGTGGATCGTCGCGCCCTCTTATCAGCGTTCGGCTAGGTCTTCCTCCGATGAAGGCTCGGTTCGGAGATTCTCCCGAGAGTCCTGGGCCCAGGATCCAGGACTCTCGAATGTCATCCGACATTCGAGGCTCCCTATCCCTGGTTTCCGGCCGACGGCGGCTTCCGCTCTCGCCGTGGCCCCTCTTCCGGTGCTCCGCCGACGCCGAATAAGCAGGTGCCGGCTATTATCACAGTCAGTAGCCCTTGATGTAGGCGGCGATGTGTTTCCTCTCCTCCTCGGAGAGTCCATTCTTCAGGGTTCTACGCACTGGAACGGGGTGAAAAGTCAATAAAGGCCTCCCTTTCCCACCCTTTTCTACCCCCACATGCATCCGAGATCCGTGCAACACGAGCTCAGGGTTGGATCTCGACGTCCAACCCCTGGACCACACAATGGATGCATGAATTAAGGCCAATTAAATCGCGGTGCAATCGGTGGGGTATGTGCGGGGTGGATAGAGGGTACATATCGCGTAGATCGGAAATAGAGGGTCACGCGTGATCCGAAGAAAGGCATGCAGAGGGCGTAGAGGGGTACGTCTCAAAGGGCCCATCCCGGGGTATGAACCTTTTTCATCCCCTTTAACTTCAGGTCCTCGTTATCGTCGGATTCGACTCGTAAGGTGTCGGCTCTTTAATGCACTCCTACATTAAGGGATTTGCCCGAATGCCGCGAGTTACGATTAAAGCAGGCATGCCGGGTTAACACTCTGGGTCATCCCCTTTAAGATTCAGGGTCGACTCGATTTTCCGCGCCCCCTCGGGCCATTTTCCGAGCCCTTCGACCGACCTATAGGGAAGGACTTCTTGGCTAATATTTATTTACTAGTAATTAACGACTGGAGAATCGACCCCGAGTCCGTTTAAATTGACTTGGCACCCCTTTGCCATCCCCTTTAAGGTCGCGGGATTCCTCCCCGACGGGGATGCCGGACTCGATTCGCGCTTCCGCTCGTTAAGTGTCGGCTCGTTAATGCGATCGCACTTTATACGACAGTCAGGGCCAACTCCGGGGTGGAGTCTCGAGCACCCCTCCACTATTTCCCCGTTTACGATCGCGACTTAACTCCAAGAACCCGGGAAGGCGCGACTTTATTGGACCCTCTTGGAACACTCGGGGAAAGGGTGGAGGGGTCTGTCCCACCCTTGGGAAAAATACTCAGGTCGACGTTTCGAGCGACCGCGACAGGGTTATCTCCCCCTCGCCTCGATCGACCTCGCCGACAAAGACGACGGATTAATTTTCCATCCCCCTCGCGCGGGTTGGGGGGTGCAACGTTTTCCTCGATACCGCGAGAAAGGGCCGATACTTCCCTTTCGGATCTCCTTTCTTCCGGAATTTTTTTCAGCGGAGGCGCGCACGGGGAAGGGGGGCATACCACCCCCTGGCTATTTCCCTTATTACTATCCCACCCGGCCAAGTTTCCCGGGGCCGGGAGAATTTCCCAAACTCCCCTTTTCCCGGGCGCTGTTGCAATTTCATTAACAGACGTAAACAATGACCCTCTATAACGTGATATTACGGCGCTACCACCGGAGCTCGTTTTACCAGGGAAGACCGCCCCATTTTTTGACGTTCCGGCTAACGAACATTCTCCCGACGCGCGGGTAACGTCCAATTCCTCCCCCCAAGGTTTTTTACCGCACCTTGTTTGCGCACGTGATACGGAATTATACACGGCCGGTCAAGGGATGGGGCGGGGAAGAAGCTCTAAAGCCACTTCCGGCGGAAAGCGTTGCCCCTAGAAGACGGAGGCGACTGTACTTGGTGCGAGACTCCACCCGGCGTGGACTCTAGGGTGGCCGTGCACTCCTCCCTCAATGGTTTTGAAACGTCAATTAGTGTTTCTTTTTTTATTTTTTTTTCCATGCTATTTGAATTAATTACGTATTCCTAAAACTTACACGTGTACTAGCCTCTTATTTAGCCCTTATATCCAATATTTCACCTTTCGCCCCGAACGACTTTATTCACGGGATTTTTATTCGCGTAAACCGAATCCACGTGGAACGGATACTCCGCGTAAATTGAGGGAGGGGTGTATGCACCTCGAAGTGCAGGAGAGAATTAATGATGCATGCCGGTGCAACGGGCGCAGTGAGCGGTATTTTCTTTTTTATTTATTTTTTTATTTTTTATGGTTACACGGGAAACAGCCATGCCGAGACCATGCAGCGCCGAGGAAAATTAAGAGGAGGTTTCGAGGGACCGAGGAAAAGACAAAGATAGAAACCCGGAGAACGAGCAATTTAGAAGAGGTTGAAGAAGCGAACCTTCATCGCAGAGGACACGGGGTTGGCCCTCTTCAGGGTAGGTAACCCTCCGGCGTGGTGTTGTTCTCGCGGGTGCGGGATCGCTTCACTGTCGGAGAGAGAAAAGAGAGAAGGGGAAGAACGGGGGAAAAATGTACAGGACCCCGTGAAACCATCACCTACGGGGGTTAAACCATCACCTCACCCCTGTGCACGCCACCTGGCAGGGCCGAGGAAGCAGACACACCCCGCGAGCTCTCGCGGGGTGGAGATTCCACAGAGACCGCGACAGAGAGAGAGAGAAAGACACCCTGGGGTACAGGAGGAAAAGTTCGGGGGAAATTCGAGGGAGAATCGACGGGAAGGAAAGGGACAGGCCGAGAAACCTCTCGCGCCCCTGGCGGGGATTATTCCGGGAGGGATGAGAGCAGCCATTCTCGGCACCTGCAGCCCCGGGACAAAGGCTCCGAGAAAATCCGAGGAAACTCCGAGAAAACCACCCGGGCCCGATCCGTCGAATCCTCGGAGTCGATCGCGCGTGCCGCCCTTTGGGAAAAATCGAGGAACACCCCCGAGGCATGGGGGGGCTGCGAGCCACCCCCTCTGCGTTTTCTCGACGCCGCTCTTATTTCCCGAGATTCGTGGCAGAGAGCCTTTTAATTGACTCCGGAGGAGACGTCATTCGGACTCCTCGGGGAGGGTGGAAAAGAAGCGCGATTTCCCATTTACCCTGACTCCCTTCCGCTCCCTAGGATTTTTCCAATTGAAACGCCGCCCCGGGCGACCCTCCTTCGATTCTCGCCCCGAAAGGTCGACGATCGCGGTGCAGGGATTTAATTTACACCCGCGACGTTTGCCCGGCGACCCGGGGGTTGATCCGAATTTTCCGAGGACTCTCGGCCCACCCCTGCTCGGCAGAGTTCATTTTTCGGGGACCTCCTCCCAAGGATCTACGCCCGGGAGAGATCGAGTTACAGCGATTCGCGGAGCCTTATTGTCCAGTTTTCGAGGGAATGCAATTTATCCCCCGTTCCTTCCTCCTCCCCTTCGCTGGGGGTCCTTGTGTATCCGCGTCTCCGCGCAAACCGGGGATTCCGGGATGAAGATCTCATTGAAAGTTAAGCCTGGCCGTGGCACGCGCATGTCGCAGGACCTCCTTGAGATTCAGCAAACGTCCACGTCCCCGTGCAGCGACTAGAAAAATTCCTGCGAGTCCTGCCGTAGCCCAGGATCCTGCTCCTTGTACCCGGGATTACGGTTCCCCGGGTGCGTCTCGGCTCCCTTGGCGTAATCTCCCCCTCTCTCTTTCTCTCTCTCTCTCTCTCTGTTCCGGGGCTTAGAGAACCGTTCTCCAACTCCCTCGCCCGGGAGAATCGGTACTCCGGGTAGGTAATTACCTTTGTTGGTAACGCAAAGTACACCTTGGCTTTCAATTAGGACGCCCGTACCTGCGCATTCTACCCGATTCCCCGGTGGGATCTCCCGATAAAATTGCATCTCTTGTTTGATACTAATTAAACAAGGAAAATCTCATGTCCCAGGTCGGACTGGAAATTGCGAAACGATAGCTAGTGCGGCGTTGGGCGTGGTCAGGGTGCGGGGATCGCACTTACGGGACTTACGGTCGGCGTGTCGAGTCCTTTTGCGTTCCCTGGGGGTGGTCCTGGTCCCGGGGGACTTGGTGGCCGTCTTGACGAGCGACTCCAGCAGCTCGTCGTCCCCGTCGGTCAGGTTCCCGTTGACCGACTCGTCCCTGAGGAGCGGCCCCAACGCGGTGCGCCCTGCAAGAAGGAAACACCTTTCCCTGAAGAGGCTCCAACGTCGACGCGGAAACGCGACTCCCGGTGGGGGATCGGAACTGTCCCCCGAGGCTGGTCTCCTTTGTTTCATTTCCTTCCACCCGAGGACCCCGACTCCGGGGATGGGAGATATATTCCACGTCTGTGCCTTTGAAGTCCCGATAAAAATCCTACCGGCCCGGATGAAGGACCCCTCGAAGGGCGCAAACGAGTGGGATACTCTCGACATCGAGACCCGGAGGAGCTGAGCGTCTGCTTTGGGAGCCAAAACCGAGGAAACATTCCGCTAAGAGACGCCAGACCTCCCCCTCGGGGGGAATCCGCGTTCCCGGGCTGTGATTTGTCCTCGGGCGGCTTCCGGAAACGAATGGCTGGAAGGATCCTCGAGAGGAGCCTAACGAGCAGCCGCGTTTCGCCATTTTTGCTGCGAGGTAGAAAACTCGAGATCCTTCCACCTCGACTGGCGACGATCTGCCTCTTCCTTTATTTCCTTTTCCTCTATTTTTTTTTCTTTTTTTTTTTATTTCTTAATTCGACCCCCAAGCGGAGGACTCACCGTCCTTTCTCTGCCTTCTCCAAGGCAACGTGCCGTGGATGCTCTCGACGTCGGAGATGTCACTTCCCAGGAGTTGTCTGAGCTCCGCGTCGGCTCGGTCCTCCTTGGTCCTGAACTTGCCGACCTGGAGGACGAGGCGAGAAAAGGGTGTCACTTGCACGAGAGGATGCGAGGACGCGTCCTTACGTCGAGGATAGGTTTTATCAAAGACTCTGGAAAGGACCCACCTCCGTGATCATCTTCCCCCTGGTCTTGTTCCTCTCTCTGTGATTCGCCTTCTTCTCCAGCTGCTGGATAACCCTCTCCCTCGTGGTCCTGTACTCGAGGGCGAACTCGGAGATGATCCTGCAGAACTCGTTCGGCTTGGTGTCCTGCAGCCGGTGGAGCGGTATCCCGAGCCAGAGGACGAATTTGTGGAAGCGATTTATTATGCGCCGGTGAACTATCCCGAGGACGATGATCCTCTCGGCGCAGTCGGCCAGGAAGTCGGACATCCTGGAAGAGAAGGACCCAACTAGAGACATCCGGCTGAGCGATTCAAGGTCCGAGAGACCGAAGAGGTCCTTCGGAATAATTGAAGTCGAGGACCGTGGATGGCCAGGACTCGATGAAAACCTCCACCTTCCTCGGGGGGAAAGGAATCAAGGACCGTGGAAGGTTTTACGGTGATTAAGGGGATATTCCTCCTTCCTCCCATTTCCCGGGTGGCTGGAAAAATCCTCCCGAGGACCCGAGGACGTGCAGGATGGAGAATCCCCCCAGTCCTCGTTTCTTGCCTTTTAATCAACTTCCGGGCTACTCACTTGACCTTCATCATGGTAGACCCGTCGTGCTTGGCAATCAATTTCAGGTGATCCCATGACGCCTTGCACTCGCTCTCGAGTTTTCCGATATTGGCGGCGAGCTCGTCGAAGTCGACCTTCGACGCCCTGGTGACGGCTCCTATCTGCAAGGAGAGGGCGAGAAAGAAAATTATCAAAAGAGGCTTGAAACTGTTCCCACGGCCGGGGATCTCATCTCCAGGGGTGGTGAAGAATCCCATGGGACCACTCACCTCGGAGTACAAGTCCGTGGAGTCCGGAAACTTTTCCATGACCATGTGGCAGAGATGGTGCAGCAAGGAGTGCTTGTGCACGGTGTCCTTGACTTCGGGCACTTTGGCGAGGTACTCCAGCTGAAAGCCTTTTACCTGAAAGAAAAGCGAACTTTCCGGAGGCGGGCTTTCTCTCTCTCTCCGCACCCCGTTTCTCAGCCGGTTAGAGCGCGGGGCAGCCGCACCCCTCCCGTGAGAAAAACGCAGAAGGGTAGGAATTCACCGAGAACGCCGGATAACCCTCTGCCCTAACCGAATGGGCTTTGCTCACTTTGGCCTAACAGGGAACCGCGTTAAAACTTAACAAAATCCCTCTTCGACCCCCTCACTTTCCATTTCCGTTCCTCCTTTCCACTCGGATCCGACCCCCCGCGGCAGATACGCATATCAAATATTCCGGAGGGTCGATCGAGCGGATGCCGTTCCGCGGGAATATCGAAACACCCACCTCGTTCCCATTGAGGAATATCCCGATCGAGAGGAGCGTGCTGAGAATCCCTCGGAAGGTCTTGTTCACCCTCAGCGTCTCCATCCCCTGTTTGAGGTCCATCAGCGGGTCCGCGATTTCCTGGAGGGTCACGAGGGGGATTTACTTTCTGCCCGGTATATGGAGGAGATAAGGAATCATCCCCGGGGTGTAAATATCGAACCTTCTCCGAGTTCTCGAAGTCGAGCTTGAAGGCCCAGAGCTTCAACCTGGCCGGCAGCTCCGAGATGGAGGCCAGGGTGAGCAGGAACTGCTCCGCGGATCCCAGGGGAAGGTCAGGGTTGGCGGCCTGCGCCTCTTGTATCCTGGACCTCTCCTCCTCGGTCGGCAGCATCGTCAGGAGTTTCTGTCGATAAAATCGACATCGATCAAAATAAAGCTCGACGCAAAAACCGCCGGAAGTTCTGCCAAACCTTTCCAAGATAACAGAGATTGTCCTACGGGGCTAATTGACCAATATCTGATAACTATCTCAATTTATGCAAAATATGATACACAAAAATACCATCTATTACCTTTGCGTTACTGTACGTAATTTTTTTTTGTTTTTAATAAAATAGTTTATCGTGCGTTAAAACGCCCAATCAAGTTGACCAATCGCGCCGGTGTGCATAAGTAACTTTTTCCTTAATTTATTACAAGAGATGAATATTGGACTGCAAATGGGCTCGGATGTATGCTCCAGATTTCGATGAATAATATATTCTAAAATGTCGATTATCTCACTGGCAATTAAACGTTATCAAAGACTTGGTCAATTTGTTCTCCCTAAGGTCTCACCTCGATGCCCTCTCTGTTCATGATAGTGGCGTCCATCTTCAGGATGGCCGTCTTGATGGACCTAGGTGGAGGGAGCTTGGTCATCCCGATGTTGATGGCGTTCGACCTCTTGTGGTCCAGGACGATGATCTCCTTGTTCTTGTTCATCTCCTGCTGCTTCTGCTCGACAAGGAAGTCAGGATATATCAGGTAAGAGCACCTCGTAGTGTAGGAAGCGAAGCCCGGGCGACGTCCCCCAGTCGTCGGTTCATCGGTTCATTCGGTTCATCAGCTACGCTATTCACTCGGTGTCGACTAGTGTGCAAGCTCGTTAGAGGCGTCTAATTGTCAAGGAACAGTCACGACAAGTGGGTAAGGGGGTTTTCGTCTCCCGCCCGGGTCTTCTCCGGGTCGGGCGACCTCGAGTTTTCGAAGGATATTCATTAATGCAAATGTGCGCCGCTCGTTTCGGAGGTGCTTTTGAATAAAAAAAGAAAAAAGAGAGATGAAGAAAAAAGGCGCCGCCACCTGCGGGTCAAGTCATTAAGGGGACGATTGAATGCAGTTCACATGCCATGCGGTGAGAGAGAGGGGGAGAGAAAAAGAAAAAAAGTGCAGCGGATGCACCGACGAAATTCTCCCGGCTCGCTCTCAATTTTAAAGTCACCCAGAATCCGAGAGAAGTGTATACATTCGACCGAGGGGCTATTCACTTGGAAATCGGTGGAATCGATTACCTTAGTTGTGAACCGATTGCCTTTGATTTCAAACGATGAAGAACAAATGATTCGGTAACAAGTGACAGGCGGCCTTAAAATCCTGGAGACGCATTTTATTGATTTCCAACGATTTCCAGTGATATATATCTGTCTGCGATTACCAGCCGATTTCGAGCATTAAATTCCCCGATTCCTTGAGTGACCATCTCGGTTTCGTCGCATCGAAAATTGGGGAAAAGAAAGAGATCTCGTCGGTGCTGCATAGGGTGACATGCGGTGTCGTGTACAGAGTGTCGAGTAGTTGAAACGTAATTAAGACTCACCTCCTATATAAAGTTCCAACATGCCATTTCGTTTCGTGCGTGCACCGACGATATTGCAAAGAATACAATAAGGGATTAGTCGGTTGTAGATCGATACAAGAAGAGACGATAGAAAGGAATCGACCAGAGCCACCCTACGGCGCGACAACTAGGCCCTTCTTCGGAGCCTCGGCGGTACCCCTAGGAATTTCCGCAAGCCCTCGATTCCCTGCGGGGGTAACGCGAATGCCCGATCCAGCGGTTTAAGCGGTTTGCGAGAAGCAAATAGAAATGCAGCGAGGCGCAGGTCGCAGGGGAACGAAGCCGGTAATCCGCGGCCCGGGATCAAAAAGCGTTCCCGAAGAGAACCCGGAGGCGCTCTTTGCCCCTGGCTTGCGGCAACCCGGCGTGCACCTCCGTAAGAGGGTCCATCCCCTTTAAGGGGCTCTTCAGGGTCCGTCGAGACGCATCGAGATGGGTTCGCCCAGTCTCGGGACCCTCCCGGCTTTAAAAATCCCCGATCGGATCATCGAATATCGGTAGACAAGGTCGGGGGGAATAGAGGTCGATGGGAGCGATCGACTGACCTTGGTGATGAGGTCCTTGGCGCGGCTCTCGAAGAGGTGCTCCAGCTTCTGGGTGTCGACGGGCACGGGGGAGAGCTCGTCCCAGATCATCTTGTTCTTGTCCAGTCGAGAGAGGATGATGGGGTCGTCCCTTACCTCCTTCCAGAAGAGCTTGACGGTCTTCTTGCTCTTCTTGGGCGGTTGGGAGGGGTTCTTCGGGGAGTCGCCGAAGGGGGAGGGTGGAGGTTTGACGGCCTTGAGACCGGCCCCGAAGCCCTGGGGCCCGTAGGGCAGAGGTGGTGGAAATCGGTTTCCCGGGGGCGGCGGGGGTGGGGCCCGGCCACCCATCATGGGTGGGACCATGGGTGGCGGCGGTGGCGGCACCCCGTTAGCTACGTGCACCGGGCTCAGGACGTCGACCTCGTCCTCCGAGTCGAGGTCCGTGAAATCCAGGTCGCAGAGGGCCAGCGGCCTCTTCAGCCTCTTCGCCAGCTCCTCCCAGTGGAGCTCGTTCTCCGACTTCTTCGCCTCGGCGAGCTTCGGCAGGCTGTCCCCCGTGGGCGACTTCAGGACGTCGGCCTTCGACTTGGACTTCGCCAGACCCTCTTTGGCTTTCGAGATGAGGCCGCTCATGTCGCCTATCCTGGGGACACGTCGACAGACCCTCGAAAATTCGCTCCCAGGGGAAGGGACCACCTAAACGGTTCTCCGGAAACTCCAACCGAGGTCGGAGAGGCCGAGACCTTGGAGTTGCGTTTACCTCGAGACCTTGGAATTGCGTTTACCTTGAGACCTTGTCCTCGACGGGGCTGCTGGGTATCAGGTTCTGCGCCGCCAGCTTTTGCGTCAGGTCTTTGACGGTGCCCTCCCTCTTAAGCTGCAGCATCACCCTGCGGTCCTCGTCCTCGTCGGTTCGGTTGCCCTCGTCGCACTCGACCCCCTCGTCCGGGCTCTTCCCGTACCTGGGCTTCTTTTCCTCCGAGTCAAGCTTGTTCGCCGCGTTCATCAAGGGTGTCAAATCCTTCCTGCTGGTCCCCCTGGCCAGCCGGTTCGACGGCGACTCCGAGCCCCGCTCGTATGGAGAACCGTTCGAGTAGCGGAGCCCGTTCGTCGGAAATGGGCCTGCGACAAAAGGAACAGCCGACGTTTCACGGGCCTTAAAACTAGACATTTCCGTCGTTTCTCCACCGAGGAAGAAAAGCCTCATCGGAGCAAGGAAGTATCTCTTAAAACATTACCAAAGAAATATTTTGTCAATTTAAAAAATAACAATGCCGGCGGCACACGGTGCATCCGATTAATTCCCGTGTCGAGCGAAATAATTATTAGTCACGAAATATCGAGATATTTCTTCCGTACTGTTCAAGGCAAACATGTCTTAGACCGGTAATTCGATGAAAATTCTCTTCGATGGAATTTTCTTTCTCAAGGTAGATCCTCTACTCGAGATCCTAACCCTTCGAAGGGTTACTTACTCTCCTGATCGTCCGAGTTCCCGACCGATGCTCTCATGCTCGCCGTGGCTTCCTGCTGCTCCCTGATGAAGCTCCTCTGTCTTTCGGCCCGTTCCCGGCGTCGTCTCAGCGCCGGAGTTACGCCGACGTCCACTGAAACGCAGATTTCGAGAATGCGGCGCTTTAATCGTAACCAGCCTAGAATCTCTTGCGATTCGCTCGCGAACCGGCGGTGGGCGGTGGAAATCTTGCATTCATCGGCGGAATCGTCGTTGACGGATTTACGGGTCACTCGACTCCGAAGAGTGCTCCGGAATTGCATGCATATGCATCGTATGCATCGTTATGCATCGTATGCATCGTATGCATCGCTCGGCCCCGACCTTGACCGAGCCTCTCAACGGAACGCCGCCAATCAGGCGACGCTCCTGTACCGAGGCTCGCCCTCGTGCCATCAGCGAAATGCATAGAGATGCATAGGGATGCACCGCGACGCATCGCTGCATCGGACGATCCGCATCCGTCCCTGACCCGGGCACGCGGCGAGTCCGCTCAGGTGACCGGGTACCGGATTCTCTCACCTTTGTTCTCCTTGTAGCTGCCGTTGAGCTGCACGTCCAGGCCCTGGGAGCTCTGGGAGCTGCTGGACTCGTCGTCGTCGTCGGGTAGGCTCGAGTTCATCGTGCTGTCCAAGGAACTCAAACCCAGAGAGTGGTTCAGCCTGGGGCTCGAGCGGGCGTTCAGCGTCATCGAGAGCGGCGAGGTTCCGGTCGAGTGTCTTCGGGACTTCCGTCGCTCGTGGCTGTCCACCAGGGACTTCCGGTTCCTCAGCGTCTTCCTGGGAGCCGTTTCGAGGTGCGGGATGAATCTCGAATAGTGGGAGAACGCGAGATGGGGACCAGGAACCCGATTATCGAGTTCACGCGATGGACTATTGACAACCTCGTATAAGACTTTGAAATTTCTCTAATAACGCGACCTCGCGAGGATACAGTTTATTCACGAAGAAGAAAATTCGTAGGAACTCGACATCATTGGTCGCCACCCTGGGGGACCCTCTCACCTGATGTTGTCGTCGAGCTGCCTGATAGGCGAGCCCCGGTCGTTGCCGTCCTCGTGGTGCAGCACCGCCTCATAAATCTGGAACTGCCTCAGGAGGTCCAGGTCGGTGCCCTGTTTGGACATGTACCTCTGGACGATGCCCTCGATGCCCTGCTCCTCTAGGCAGTCCACCTGGTCGTAGTAGGTGTCCTGGTCGGGGATGCCGTTCAGGCACTTGTTCACCAGGGTGGTCGCGTATATCAGGAGCTCCGTGTCGGCCGCGTCGTAGTCCTTCAGGAGCTTCATTACGTTGGTCCAGGGGATCATGCCCCTGGACGTGTCTACCGACCTGACGGCCCTGACCAGCAGCAGACTGTTCGTCTCGACGTACTCGACGAAGACCAGCAGCAGCTTCAGGGCGGTCTTCACCACCAGGCGGAAGCGACTGGCGATCAGGGTGTACAGCCACTGGACCGTCTGGCCGTGCTCCATCACCCCGTTCATCCCGTCTACGTAGAGCATCACCTGACCGAGGGCTGGAAGAGAGACAGAGAGAGGAACGGGAGGATCCGTTATTGTCTCGGTTCCCAAAGGGCACCCCGAGGGCTCTCCCGGGATAATGGCCTCGGGGAGGACTCGCGTTTTGCAAAGTCGCCTCTTTTCGCCACTCACTACGCCCTCCTCGAAGAGGGCGACGATCGGAGGGTCGACTCGGGAACTCAGAGCGGGTCCGACCACTTAAAGGGGAGCTCTATCGTTCTCCATGGAAATTCCCTCACCTCGTAGAATGTAGTTTTGGTAGTTTTGGTCGGCCTCGCTGCCGACCTTGATGAGACACGCCAGACCATCATTCTGCACGAACTCGTGGACCAGGTCCTTATCCTCCTGCGCGGAAAAAAAAATGACAATTGCACTTTTGGCAACACCCCTCCCGATGAAGTTATGCTCTTCCTCTAGGAGCAATCGCAGCAACGACGGAAATCATTATTAACCATCCCGGAAGTGGATCTCACCTGGAAGATCTGCTTCAGGGAGAAGAGCGCCCTGCGCAGCTCGCGGCCCTCGCTGTTGAGCAACTTTTCTGCAACAGAGAAGAAACCCGCAACCCTTTATTACGGTAATGCCCCGTTGCGCATTGTTGCGGGTGGGACACACTTGCTCGGTAAAGACCGGCCTGATAACGCGGCTTTGCTAAAAGCACGATAAAGAGCCGCCGGTGTATGCACCTACGGTCTTAAAGCGCCCTTTATGCCCACGGAGAAAAAGGACATTTCTGCACCTTTAACAAAGGACATCCTTGCAGATAGTCTCGCTCTTCCTGCCGGAATAATCCCACCGACAATGGAAACCTTTGCAATCACCTCGAGTCATACATGTAACCAATATTAATTTTTTCTTTTGTCAATATAAGAAAAAATAGATTCCGGGGAAAAATTTTCACCGGCTTTTTTTTCCAAATGCTCACGTTTGTCGTTGCAAGTGAAATCTCTCGTTACGACCGTGAATTCATTTTCCGCGTGCACATTGCACTTGGATGCATGTATTCCCTCTCTCCCAAGCTCGTCAAAGGGTCTCTCTTATCTGATAAGAAATCCAACCGAATGAAAAATTGCATCGAAATTCGTACCTCCTGGTTTATTGTTCCGCGTGGCGGACCCTCCGTCGCCGAATTAATTCCCGCAGAGGTGTTCTTTACGATTCGACGCGAAATTGGCCCGCCTAGTGGGTTAATCGGAATTTTATCTCCGCTCTAAAGCCGGGACATTAAACCCCGGGTCCTCCGGTGTTGCGTCCTCGACACTCGCGAAAAGGCGCACCCGCGGCCGGTGGGAATTGAATCGTCGTCGGCGAGGTCTGTATTTTCTTCGCGATTAAATTTATCGCTCCCTCCGAACGGCCTCCATCTTTCACCGGTTAAGCACTTCGTAGCAGTGCGTAAAACCTGGCGGTTTAAATCAGCCCGGTTTCGCGATATTCGGCGAGGTCCACCTCGGCGGCTTCCCTTGGAAGATAGGCCTAATCGTAATCGATCCCTATCGATATATGCCGTACCTATGACGCATACTCGCGGTCCAGCATTACGAACGAAAGGGAAGGAAAACGATTTTCCGAGGTATGGAAGAGGAAGCAGGAATGAAAATCGGTGTACGAAGTCAGATTAGAAAGTACCCTCGAAGATAGGACAATCGTAATCGATCCTTATCGATATACACCGAATTTATGAAGCATACATATCCCAAGTCGCGCTCAAGCATGCCTAAGGAAAAGGAAGAAAAGGGAAATTCCGCTGTATGGAAGAGGAAGCAGGAAAGAAAGGCGGTATACAGAGCCAGATTAGAAAGTACCGGGGGTTTAACGATCTTAACTCGGCGAAGGGTACCGATACTTACAGTGCCATTAAGTAATACCCGCGATAATGGCCGGCTCTCGCGACTGGCGTCGATAAGTCTGACGAGTTTACCGCAAATCCGGGGCGGATCGATCTAGGGATTTCTCCAGGATCTAGGATTGATCCGCGTATTCGTGAGGGGAAATCTTCCCGTACTCTTCGGGGATGTACTAAACTATTGAACAAAAAGGAGACCGACCACGTGGTTCACCGGATTCCTGGAGCAATTGTACCGTATCCGTGCCCACTTCCTGTCCAGGAGGAGAGGAGAGGACGGGTCTCCTCGGGCGAGTAGGGATTCCTCCAGGATCTAGGATTGATCCGCGTATTTGTAAGGGGAAATCTTCCCGTACCCTTCGGGGATGTACTAACCACGTGGTTCACCGGATTCCTGGAGCAATTGTACCGTATCCGTGCCCACTTCCTGTCCAGGAGGAGAGGAGAGGACGGGTCTCCTCGGGCGAGTCGGCGCATCTCGATAAGAAGCTCGGCGATTACGTAGGCGGCCGGAAGCTGGGTACCTCGACCGCCAGGAAGCACAGGTAGTAGGTAGATAGTTAGGTGGTTAGGTAGGCTGAAAGGAGCAAAACCTGAACGAGTAATTAGGACCCGGCCGCAGGGGGCCAGGGCGGCGGAGCCGCGCCTACCGCCGCGGCGGAACCTCGAGTCCCCTACGCGGCCGTTTCGCGGCCGTCTTGCGATTATCCGGGAACGAGTCGAAAGGCGAGCACCCGCGACCGGGAATAAAACTCGACGCAGGCAAAACGCGTCGCGGAAATCCGATATCAGCCGCGACACGCGGTGCTGCGACGGCGGAATCGCCAAGAGAGATTCTCCGGTCACAACGTGACGTTCCAGATAAGAAATAGAAAAATAAAAAATGAAACTAAACTTCCGATTTTATGTAACACAGAAATTCCCGTACAGCAGGATTAATTCATAGTGCGAGTTAACGTACCACGTGCCATAAAAAGTGATGATTTTAGGAATGACTTGGTAATCTCTTTTGTTTTAAATTTTCTCCTTTTATTTATTTTCTCTCTAAGCACCTGTTTGAGAGGTGCTCTTCGGGCTCGGAGTGGTGTTAGGATCCGGGACCGCATTTCCGTTAATGCCTCACTTCCGGGGTCGGGGGTTAGGGGTTAAGTCACGGGATCAGGTGCAGCTCGTGCGGGACGTAACCCAAAGCTCGGGGCCGACGAGCTGGAGGAGAGCTGGAAGAGAGGCCGAACGGGAAGAGGGAGATGAGAAGAGGAGGTACTCCCGTACCCCGAAGAGCACGGGAATACGGGAGTACCGGCTCGAACGGAGTATCAGGAACCGTTAAAATATGTAAAACGCTCAGCCCCCGCCCCCAGTCGCGCCCCGTTCGCCAATTTATCGCTCCACTCCGAACCCGGGCGCACCTCGAGCCTCGGAGGTTCAATGCACCAGGACGGCCCTGGCGCAGGTGAATCGGCCAACCTGCCGAATGCACCCGGGATACAGGTTCTCCGATCGATCCTCCTCCCCCTGGAAGCCGGGCCGCGGCATCCTCTGGAATGAGTTCCTCCCGCAACGGGGACGCCTCCTCTTCGGCTCGAGGATAAATCGCGCCGTCGGGGATGGCCTTGATTTTATGCACCTCGCATCGCGAGCCTACAGGTGCACGGAGTAATTAGAATGCCCGATGAGCGCGCGAAGAAAATTAAAAAAAAAATATGGTAAAGAAAATAAAAATAAAAAGAGAAAGATGAAATCGACTGTCCCGAGGTGGCGCCCCTCGGCTCTCGGATATCCCGATAACACCAGGAGATTGCTAAGCGATCGGTTCCCAGGCGTGTACTTACACCTACGCGTACAGGTCGCCGGCCCAGCCCGAGCGGGACAATTGCCCGCTAAATTGAATGGTATAATTTTCAATTAAGCCGACGGTTTAGCCGCCTAAGTGGCGCGGCAAAGTCCCGGGGAACGAGCGCGTGTCGTTTCGAGGGCGATCGCCGATCGGCGATCGATTTTCCCCGAGGGAAGAAGGCCGAATCGATTACGCCGATCGACGGGAATCGAAGTCGCCGGATCTCGAGTCGCCTCCGAGAGGGGAACCGGGACCAGGAGGCCGCTCTCCGTCCGATCATATTTTTAGACGTAAGTGTCAAAGAAAGCCGAGAGAGTTAAAACAAAAAAAAAGAAGAAGAAGAAGAAGAAGAGGAAGAAAAGAAGAAGAACCAGGGAGGTGCTTCACCTCCGGAGTGACATCACCGTCCGGCGATTGGCCGGTGGAAAGTTCCTACGCGAGCGAAGACCCCGTCCCTAAAAAAAGCCGCCCCGATCCCCGGCTTTTCCCGCGGGTGCGTAACCACCGGCCGAAGGCCGATAACCCTGATTACTTATTTATCCCCGCCGTATTAATTTGCATACATCGCCACGGGCCCCGGGTCGACGATATTCGGCGGGCGAAACGGCGCCCGGCGTCGGGAGCGTTTCGATCGGCCAATTACCGATGGCCGGGATCGCCAATTACGGGGATCGTAAAATCAATGGCAGGTTAAACGGGAGTCTCGACCGAGGTGTATGTGTACTCACCGATGATGGTGTGGACGCGTACCGAGAGCTGGGTCCGCAGCACGATGGAGTTTTTCCGGCTGCAACAGATCGGAGATAATCCTCGAATTAGTCGGCGGAAGATGGGCGTTGATAGAGGCGTTATAACAGTTCCCCCGGGAAACGCGTCCTGGGAAAGGCCGGGTGCATTCCCTCCCCCTCTCTTTCCTCTCATCGAGGTCGCGAAACACCCGCGACGAGTCCAGGAGTCCAGCATTCCGAGGAGACCTCGGAAAACAGGGAAACCCAATCGTCGTTACCCAGGACTATCGATTGCCTGATCTCAGTTAAATAATCGACCTTCCCCGATAACCCTGAAAATTAATTAATTCCCCGGTAATTAAGAAACAATCCGTAGAACTCGTATCACTTATCACACGTGCCCGAATAGAATCCAGGATACCCCTGGAAATGAAATAATTCCCCCTAAATTTACCAATATTCCCAAGGACTCGTATCTCTTATCAGGTGCACCCGAATTGTATCTAGGACATATCCAAAGTGCATCCGGAGTGACATCACCTTATCACACGTGCCCGAATACTATCCAAGATACCCCTGGAAATTAAATAATTCCCCCTAAATTGACAAATATTCCCAAGGACTCGTATCTCTTATCAGGTGCACCCGAATTCTATCTAGGACGTATCCAAAGTGCATCCAGGTGCATCTCGCGTGCACCTCGCAGTGTTCCCCCAAAGACCCGTTGCCCTAGTAAAGCCCAAAGGGCGACCCCATCCGCGAGGCCCCCGATCTAACGGGGTCCGTTATCTCGGTCCGAGAACCATATCCATAAGAGCTCGCCGTCGACGTTTCCTCAATTAATCGGGGGGACAAGGGGCCCGAATTGGGTTAGAGTGCCGTGTCGGGGCCCGATGGATGCAGAAGTCAAAGTTAGCCGAGCCGGCGTAAAGGCTGCGAACCTTCCCACGCGCCTGCGCGGCGGCTGGGAGCCACGAGAACAATGGTTTTCAAGTAAGGCCCCAGTCGCGGCAAGGTGGGGTGCCCATGGGGGAGGGAGTAAAAAAGGACTAGTCCGCGTGTTAATAATGTTTCCGCTCGTAAATGAGCGAGGAGGGGGAGGGGGAGGGGGGGATAAGGAGCCCCGTAATTCAGGCTTTATCGCCGTTCTTTTCCCACGAAACCTCCGCCGTAAAGGCGTAGGGGGGAGGGGGCGAGGGCCCCCTCGAGGGTGTCTCTCGGGATCGCCCCCCTGCCCCTCGTTCCTCTTGTTTACCTTTCCCCCGACCCTTGTTTTTTTTTTTTCCCCCGAATCCTGGAAACGGCTCCCCGAGGAGTATCCCCGGGACGGACCTTTTAAGGACGCGCGCCCGAGCGTTTCTCCCTTGCGTCCAACCGAGAGGGGGTGGAAATCCCCCGTAATGCGAGATTGTCCGAACATCCCTTGGAAGCTGGGATTCTTTCCGGGAGACCGTCGGCGAGATGTCGCGAATGTCACCGTTCGCGGCTCGCCGAACAATAAAGGCCGTCCCCCCTTGGGGGAGGGTCGGGCCGGAAAGTGGAGGAAGGGGAGAAAAAGGGAGAATAAGGTAGAAAAAGCTAGAAACGAAGGGAGCGAACGGGGAGGAGGCGGCCCCGATAAAGACGTTTCCTTTTTTCCCGCCTCTTCCTCTGGCGTTTTTCCTCCCCCTCCCTTTATTTCCCCCGGCGCCTGCGGCGGCGGCCCCAGATGAAATTACCAATCGGAGCCGGCGGTCCGGCGGTAAATCTCGCCGGAGAGCGCCGCGTCGCGCCGGCTGCGGAACGGGGGCCGGAGTTGCGGAAAGACGGAAATACCGGAAACCTTGCAGCCTCCTACCGGAATCGCGTATCCCGCTTGTCTTCTTTGTTTCTTCTATTTTTCTTTTTTTCTTTTTTTTCAACATACACACGTTACACCCTTCCCTCCTCGTCTCGCTTCTCCGCGTCGCGAAAACGCTCCGGCCGAAAGCGCGCGTCACGCGCCAGCGGGGAATGAGTTACGGGCGAGAGACGCTTGTTGCGCAAGCGGCTCGGCTCGGACGTCGGTCGCGACGTCAGGTCAAGCGTGTCCCTCTCCCTCGCCGTAAATCATTTAGGAATTAATCCCCCTAATTGGCGAGCGAGCGAGAGAGCGAGCGAGCAAGCGAGGCGTTTTGTCGCGCGTCTTCCGAGCGGCCCCCGCGAGATGGGCCCCGGTAGATACGTCGAAGTGGGATTTATCGGGGGGCCGACGTACCGCGAAAGTCCCGGAACTGCGGAAAATTTACGGACCCCCCCGTTGGCCCCGCATATATCGAGGCATTCGCGGGGTCATTTTTCACATTTCCGCGGGGCGAATCGAGCGGCGGCCTTTCCGCGTGCTCCTCGGCATTCGTCTTCGCCGGGGGGCATTCCGACGTCTCGGTGGTAAATCGGACGATGAATCTTTAGCCCACGAGGGTGGCTCCACGTCTCCCCTTCCCTTCGACTCCCGACTTTTCCGGAGTTATTACACGGAGAGAGATTTCTCTCGTTTCTTTGCGAGAGAGAGTTATCTGAGCCAATGGCGCGTCCAACGATAGCACGCTCGAATCCCCCCCCCCCCCTGAAATCTGGCGAGGGGCCATCCCCGCTGCACCTCGGCGCACCGCCGGGGGTCGGATATCTCGATTATTCGGGAAAATTCCTGCGGATCCTCGTACCGGGATGCACCTGTTGCACCGTCCACCGGCAGGCCCCGCGACACCTGCCGCCCCGAGTGCATCGACATTGCACCGACTGCACCTCGCGGCCGCATCGGCGGCCCTCGGACTTGGCACGGAGACTGCGGCCTCCCGCACTCGTCCTTCCCGATTCCGCCGCGGTGGATTCGCACGCATTTAACCAATTACCATGCTCGACTTGCACTCGTCCTTGGCGGGAATTCGATTAAGGCCGCCTAGAGAAGAGCGGGCCCGCAATTGAGACTCTCTTGGGGAATATTCCGCGAGAGTCGGAATGAAGAATTATTGAAGAATAAAAAAAATTAATAAAAATAATAAAATAAAAGAGAAGAAATAAGAAGGGTATCCTCGGTCCTTGAGATTCGGGAGTAAGAGCGACCCCCCCCCCCCAGGGGGTGAAGATATTTACCAATAAGGAGGCATCGGGAGTCGCCCCTCCCGAGTCCCGGAAGCACTTTCACCCCCCTCTGATGCACTTCCACCCTCCTCCGATGCACTTCCACCTCCCTTCCGGAGTCCCGGCGAATATCGAGGCGCACAGGGGTGCTCCAAATCTAACGGAGCGTCGCGACGCCTCGCCGAGTCCCGAGCGCCGACTGAGGGCGAGCACTCGTCCTCGCCTCCTCGACGGCTCTCCTCGTCGCGAACCGTCGCGACAGGGTCCCTGGTGGGAGACCGGGGAGACACCCGGCCGTCTAGAGAGGCGCGTTCCGCACGCACGCGTCCACGCACCGACGTACGCCGCACGCACCTTCCTCGGTGCGGCCGCGCGTGCCGAGGAATGCCCCGCGAATACGTGGTAAGGCACTTTGCATTTCCCGAGCCCGTAAACGTTTTTAAGGACTAATTAATTCTCCGTTGAAAAATTCTCTCGACAGCTTCGATGTCAAATTCCTAATTGGTTTTACTATTTTCCATTTAGAAATGGAAGGGGGTAATACACCTTGCGAGAAATTGAAACGTGTACACACGTTGCAATGGGCACGTAGAAAAGCACATATTTTATCCAGCCAACCGTGACCAAGACGGAGACCGATTTCGCTCGTCCCAGTAACCAGGAGACGAGGGGAAGGAGGCATCCTTCCTGCCAGGAGCCTGGAAGGACACCTGTTGGGAGAGGTCACGGATGAGGGGGTCCGGGATGCACCGGGGCGTGTCTCCTCCCAAGGGGTGAACGGAGGCCGAAACGACTCGTTAATTCCCGGTCATTAGCCAGGGCGATACCGATCGCCGAGGTTTCCCTCAGGAATGCCGGGACTCGACGCCTCCTCCACAGGATGCAGTCAAAGGCCGTTCGGTCGGTATATCGATCCTGGAAGGGGAATCTGGATTTATGCTCCCGGCGTTTTTCCGGGGGCGGATGTCTCCCGCGTGGGGTGTCTCTTCGAGGAATAGCGACCCCCCCGAGTGCCGTAGGATCCAACGGGATGCGTAAGTCGCTCGTTTACCGGGCATTCCCTCGGGAGTCTGGAGATGGACGCCGGGAATGGCGCGAATTACGAGCGACTGCAGTTAGAGAGGTACGGGCGTGCGTATGCGGGGGACTCGTTAAGAAGTCGCCGTTTCCCCCCTTCCCGGCGAGTCGGATCGAAAAGTGCCTTCGACGAAAGTTCCTCGGCACGTTATCCTCGACATCTTTCTAAGGAAACATTTTCCTCCATCGCGCACCGTTAAGGCGGAATACCGCCTCGAGCGAGCGAGCTATCCCGCGCGCCGTTGCTCGCAACCCCCCTATCGGCGGCGCGTTCCGCGTTCTCCGTCACCTCGTTAGGAATTCTCAAAATATTCCGCATTCCGCGGGCCGTTTTCCCGCGGCAAACGAGGCGTCGCAACGCGGGCCCGTAGACGCTTTTCCTGGGAAACCTCTCTCGGTCGGTCCAGCCGAGCATTCCGCGATGCAGCGGCAGGAATTCTCGAGGGGGCGATACGCGACACGGGCTGGTGCGCACCCCGGACCATCTGGGACCACCTGGGACTGCATCGGGCTGCAGCCGACTGCATCCGACTGTAGCGTAGGACCGGGCCGAGAGACGCGAGCAAAACGGCCAATTTCCGTTCCCCGTTCTCCGGCGTGTGATCCAATTACCGAGGAGTAACCTGCCCCCTAAACGAGCCCCGACAAAGAGAGCGCCTCGCGCCTCGAGTTTCCCCTTATTCAAGGCTTCCCGAGGCTCGCCAGCGGAAAACTCTTAGAACAAAACATCTTCCTCGCCCCCTGCCCGACGTCTTTCGTCGGGAACGTTTTTCCGTGCCGCGGACCCCGGCGGCGGAAAACGCCGCTGATCTCCGATTAAGGGGTCAACGATAATGGTATCTCGCGTCGGGATCGCGTTTCCTCGAAGGGCCGAGAAATGGAG